TTTGTGACCGGTTCGCGAGAACCCCGCGCTGTGTTGTGGTCCTTACCACCCCCAACCCTCCAGAAAATACCCCTAAGAAGACCCGGCCGGGCAGACGACGACGCGGGAAACCATCAAGGTGGGTGATTAACCGTTTCGGGTGTTGTATGTCCTACCGTTTTCTTGCCGCTCTTTCTCGTTTAAATTTTGAGGGTGATTTACAACCACCTTCCCCCAACCCTTTACATATTGGTCCTTCTCCCCAAATCAGAATCAGTCTTTTGGATTTTTATAGTCATTCACAAACTTTAGTAATTTTAAATACATGTTCGCTATCGTGAACAGGTTAGCAAAAAACGTGTAAAGTTCGGAGCGCAAAAAAGCGGTTTCATAAAAAGTGTTTACCGTCGTTTCGAATTGCGGCCGTCTTTTTATTTGATTCGTTCTAAGCATATTTTCTGCGTGCTCAAATTCTTCTTCCTTTTAATTTACGTGGGTACTCTGTTTCGAGACTTAGGTGTGCATTTGTTTACAAAGCGATTTACAGTGTCGGAAATGGATAAATTTGTTGCTAAGCGGGATTTAACACTTAGACGCTTTAACGATATATTGTCAGCGGGTCAGAAAGCTCGCGTTGAACCCAATGATGATGAAATTTTATGCAAATTCCAGTGCATGGTGGAGGATTTGCCGAGTTTAGTTAGCACTTTTGAGTCCTTGCAATTGGAAGTAATCTCCTTAGCGAATGATTCGGAAAGAGATCGACAGTTTGCGGTTCAAGATCACTTTGATCAGTTGCATTATTCAATTCGATCTATTGCCAAGCGATTATTTGAGAAAGTGGAACCTAAGGCAGGCTCTCCGGTACCATCTGTAGTTGGTCGAGAGTCGCAAAGAAATAGTAATCTCCGACTCCACCGTATTATCATTCCGAAATTTGATGGCGAATTGAAAAATTGGCCTACATTTTTTGATATGTTTAACACGTTGATCCATAATAATTCTTCCCTTTCAAACATTGAAAAATTTCAATTTTTAGTGTCTTATTTGGAAAAGGATGCTCTCAGTGTCGTGAAGAATTTGCCAATTAAGGATGCCAATTATAGTATAGCTTACAATGCCCTCGTGAAGCGTTATCAAAACGATCGATTGTTGTTAACCGATTATTGGCTGTCGATCTTTCGGGCTCCGACTATGAAGAGTGACTCGGTTGTTGAACTGAGGAGATTGCTTTCAACATTTTCAGAGAATCTTGCAGCTATCGATAAATTCGATATCGACTTGTGGGATTTTACAAAATTCAATTTGCTTTTAGAGAAACTCGACTCGACTCTCAAGACGAGGTTCGAACTCAAATTTTGTGATAAAGATATCCCAACTTTTCAAGATTTATGTGATTTTTTGGAACAGAATTGTAAAGCTTTAGAAAACTCTTTAGTTACCTCAAAAGGTATTACCCCTACCAAGAGGCTTGAGGTTTCGAAGCGAGTTTCAACCGATACACGTAGACCCACATCTATGATAGCGACGTCTACCCCTCCGAGTGCTGATGTGAGTTGCACCAGTAAGTGTTTATACTGCCCTATGGACTACCATCCTCTGACAAAGTGTGATTCCTTCCTATCTCTTGAGCCCCCTCAAAGGCATGTTTTCATCAAGCAACATCGTTTGTGCTTTAATTGCTTCGCACGATCCCATGGTGTTGGAAGATGCCCCTCCAAGATTAATTGTCGTGTATGTGGCAAGCGCCACCATACTTTAGTGCATTTTGGAAATGCTACTACCCCTTCCCCGTCGAATGAAGCTCCCCCTGCTTCCGGCAATCAGGAAGGTATTATCCCTAGTCCGGTGACCATGATGACCAATCTCTCCTCTCAAAAGGTCGTGCTCTTTGCCACTTGTTTGGTGTCCGTTTCGGATAAATCTGGCAGACTTGTTACTTGTCGTGCACTGTTGGATTCAGCTAGTCAAGCCAGTTTTGTGACAGATTCCTTTGCGAAGAAATTATAGCTTCCAAGGTCTCTCTCTCCGACACCAATTCAAGCCCTCAACCAAATGTCGACGTCTGCGTTAGGGAAGGTTGCCCTGAGCGTGACCCCTTCCCAAAGAAAATCCCCTGCTCTCCATATAGAGGCTTTAGTTATTCCATCTATTTGTGATAAGGTACCCTACCAGGTGATTGATAAGCAGAATCTAAAACATCTCAGGTCCCTACCCTTGGCTGATCCCCACTTCTGTGAACCCAACGAAATAGACGTGCTTTTAGGAGCAGAAGTTTACGGAGATATTTGTTTGCCTGCATTTAGAAAAGGACAGAACGGTGGCCCATGCGCTTTTCGGACCATCTTCGGATGGGTTGTCCTAGGAAAAGTGAATTCTTTAGAACCATCTTCTCCCTTTAGTTTTTATACCACTGTGAGTACTGCTGTTGATGTTTCTTTGAAGAGATTTTGGGAACTCGAGTCCGTCCCTTCAGACCTTTATGTCTCCTGAAGACAAATTGTGTGAGGAGATCTTTCTCTCTACCCATTCCCGTGCCCCTTCAGGTAGATACGTCGTATCCTTACCCTTTAAGGATAAACACCCTTCACTTGGTGAATCTTACCCTCAAGCCCTTAGGCGATTCCAGTTGTTAGAGGCGCGTTTGGCCATGAACCCAACTTTGCGATTAGCCTACAACGAGTTCTTGAGAGATTATTGGGAACAAGGTCACATGGCACTCGTTAGCGACCTGCCGCCCTCTTCCCAAGGTTACTACATTCCTCATCACGCCGTCTGGAAGTCACATAGCGAACCCCTTAAATTGCGTGTTGTGTTTGATGCTTCAGCCAAAACTTCCAACGGACGGTCCCTGAACGATCTTCTATTTACGGGTCCCAAGCTCCAACCCGACATTGGAGCCATTTTGCTCATCTTTCGACTGTACTGTGTGGTTTTCACCACCGATATTCGTCAGATGTATCGTCAAATCCTAGTGAGTGACGCCGACCACCTCTTCCAGCGGATTCTGTGGCGTTTTGATCCCCGCGAAGCAGTGCGAGAGTACGTCTTGTCAACGGTGGTCTATGGAATAAGTTGTAGCCCATACTTGGCTATTCGCGTGTTGCGTCAGCTTGCTAGGGACGAAGGAGCGCGTTACCCGTTAGCAGCCCGTCTCCTAGATTGCCAAACCTACATCGACGACATTATCGGAGGAACAGACTCGTTGGAGGAAGCCCGTGAGTTGAGGGATCAATTAGTATCGCTGCTAAAATTGGGTGGTTTCGAGTTGCGCAAATGGGAGAGCAACTCCGCCGAGTTATTGAGTTCACTCCCCGCTTCACATCATCAACCCGTTTCCCTATGCGGAGACAACAATCCCAGTTTAAAGGTGTTGGGATTGCAGTGGTGTCCCTTACGGGATGTGTTCTCCTACCGCATCCAAGTAGCGGATAGGACGTGCACAAAAAGGAATATTTTGTCGCAAGTAGCCCAAATATACGATCCCCTAGGTTTTTTATCCCCGGTCGTGTTGACTGCCAAAATTCTCCTACAGCGGCTTTGCTCCCAGGGCGTCGATTGGGATGCACCTCCCCCCCGCGACATATTCGAAGATTGGAGTTCGTTTTCGTCTCAGCTGGACAGTCTTTCTGGGCTGACAATCCCTCGTCGGATACTGCTTAGCAATGGCGTCCAGGTGGAGACGCACGGATTTTGTGACGCTTTGGAGCGCGGATACGGTGCAGCCGTGTATCTGCGAAGCGTCAGAGAGGGCCATATCTCTGTCAACCTTCTGTGTGCAAAGAATCGGGTAGCGCCTTTGAAGCGAGTGTCGATCCCCAGTCTGGAGTAGTGCTCAGCGTTACTGCTCGCCCAACTCGTAGATTTCGTCCGATCCACTATAGCCTCTGAGTTGACTATCACGAGAGTATTCGCCTGGAGTGACTCCAAAATTGCGTTGTCTTGGATAAAGTCCTCCCCCCACAGATGGAAAACTTTTGTGGCCAATGGCGTGTCCCTCATTCAGGACATCATTTCCCCCAGTTCCTGGCATTACGTCGCCGGTTCATCCAACCCTGCTGACTGCGCATCCCGAGGGCTTTTCCCCGAGCAAATATTAATTCACCCCTCTTGGTTCTGTGGTCCCCCCTGGTTGCGTCTTCCGGTGGAAGAGTGGCCCACCTCCGACTTCACCCCCGGAGACGATCTGGAACTGGAACGTAAACCAGTGTTGACTTGTGTGTCCACCCCTTTAGTTGACGCGCTTGGAGAACTGTTAACCCGTTTCTCGTCGTTACGAAAAATTGAGAGGATCCTGGCTTATTGTTGTAGGTTTCTAAATAATTGTCGTACCCCCCGTTCCCAAGCGAGCGCTTGATAATTTGTCTTTTGCGGACACGTACCACGCCCGCACGTTGCTGACAGGATACGTCCAACGTGAGGTGTTCGCCGGTTTGCTGAAGTGTCTTCGAAACGGTAAACTGTGCCCCAAACCTTTACGCTCCCTAGCGCCCTTTATCGACGAGCACGGTCTCATTCGAGTAGGTGACAGACTCCGAGGTTCTGCGTTGTCTTTCGACGCAAAACATCCTCTTCTACTACCTCGAGACCATCGCTTTACCGAACTCGTGATCGAAAAGTTCCATAAGGAAAATTGCCACCCGGGCCCCCAATCGTTGTTGTACCAGATTTCACAACAATTCTGGATTTTGTCCGCCCGCAGAGCAATTCGTCACACCCTATCGCAGTGTTACCGATGCTTCCGTGTCCAACCTTCTTGTGTACAGCCATTCATGGCTGATTTACCCCCCGTTCGTGTATCGCAAGTCAAGCCATTCGTGCATACCGGTGTCGATTTCGCCGGTCCAATTTTCATTACCCTTGCGCGAAGGCGCGGCGCTAAGACTCAGAAGGCTTACATTTGCCTATTCGTTTGCATGGCTACCAAAGCCATCCATTTGGAATTGGCTTCTGAACTCAGCTCAGACGCATTCTTGACCGCTTTTCGGCGCTTTGTCGCTCGCCGCGGGCGTTGCACTGACATGTATAGTGATCAGGGTAGAAATTTTGTCGGTGCTAACCGGTTGTTGGTACAGTATTGCCAGCAGTCCGCCGACCAGTGTGAGGTGCGCTGGCACTTCAACCCACCCTCCAGTCCTCACTTTGGAGGTCTTTGGGAGGCCGGCGTCAAGTCGGTAAAGACCCATTTGTTTCGTGTGATAAGCTCTCAAATCCTGACTTTCGAGGAAATGTCGACAGTGTTAACTCAGGTGGAATCCATACTGAATTCCCGCCCATTATGTAGTTTGAGTTCCAACCCAAACGATTTGCATAGCCTTACTCCTGGGCATTTTCTGACCCTGGAGCCCCTATCTGCCCCTCCCGACGACCCTTTAGCTAATCTGAACACTAACAGACTCACTCGTTGGCAGCTCATGCAGCAGTTGCATCAGCACTTCTGGGACAGATGGCATCGGGAATACCTCCACCAGCTGCAGCAACGGCACAAGTGGAACACCACGACTAACCCCCCAAAAGTTGGTCAATTGGTTTTAATTAAAGACGAGAACCTCCCCCCGTTAAAGTGACTTCTGGGCCGCATCACGCGCTTGTACCCCAGTTCCGACAAGGAAATTCGCGTTGTGCAAGTGCACACGGCCAAGGGCACTTTCGATCGACCTTTGGTCAAATTATCTTTTGTCCCTAACTGTTAACCTGTTCAAGGGGCAACCGTGTATATAGTATAGGATAAGTTTATGGGAAAAATTGGGTATTTTTGGGAGGTCGGAATGTTAAGGGTTGAATAACATTTTTCGGTAACTTCATAATTTTTTTGTTTTGGGTTAACCTTTTATTTTCGCGCTGTGTATACAACACCCCCACCATACCCAACCTTGGTTAAGCCGCGCGAAAAGACAGACTTGCGTGAGCGTCCGTAGTGCGAACCACGAAAAAACAAGCTCTCTTTTGTGACCGGTTCGCGAGAACCCCGCGCTGTGTTGTGGTCCTTACCACCCCCAACCCTCCAGAAAATACCCCTAAGAAGACCCGGCCGGGCAGACGACGACGCGGGAAACCATCAAGGTGGGTGATTAACCGTTTCGGGTGTTGTATGTCCTACCGTTTTCTTGCCGCTCTTTCTCGTTTAAATTTTGAGGGTGATTTACAACCACCTTCCCCCAACCCTTTACATTGCCATTTAAAAATGTAGTATCGCATCACTGCTGCGAGAAAAAGTGCCAAGTGTTACTTTAAATTAGCCATAATTGAAACCTTTCTTCTTTCACAAAAAACAAACACTCAAAAATTGCACCAATAGTTGTAATTGGTGTAAGACCAAATTGTCTTATAACATTTAACATTTTATTGTTAGAGCCACTATAATAAATTATACTGTACCCCAAACAACGCCAGATATCGCTAAATACTTACTTACCTCGATAAAAAACGACCAGTTACAAACATAGCGAAATCATCACAGAAAATGCGCTACCACACGTAATTTTCAGACAATTATGTCTATAAATACAAATAGGGCTCTTCAGCGAATGTTTCATTTCTTTTACCCTGTATCTTGACTTGGGCTTTACAGAGATGCATATACGAAATCTAGGGTAGGGTTAAACAACGACCTATCAATATCTCAGGCTTCATAGAGGTGAATGTTACTTTTTTAAAAACCCCAATCGGATGGACCGTTTTTTTTTTAATTATCAGAATGTAAAGCTATGTCGTCAATATCAAGGCCACCAGCGAAGCAGCTAGAAAGGGTCAGATTTGCGAGGACGGTCAGGCAATAAACGATTTAGCGGTTCCGGAGAGCGCTTAGGATCGTTTTTGCTTGTAGACCCTCTTTCGTAGCGAATATGATACATGTATTTTTCTCATAGTTTAATTTTTTGATTAATTACTTGTTACATAGGGATGGTATCGTTTTATTATATTTGACATTAGTAATTATTTGTATTATATTTTATTGGTAACACTTCATATTAAACTAATAATACATAGAAGCTAGAATAAAAACTAAAATTGAGTAGAAGTAAAAAATTAATCTTAAAAAAAATCCTTCTTCCCATTCCAATCCAATATTAGCGTATATCTTCGGCAAAAATAATAGGTCTTTGATTTATAAAGAAAATTGTCATTACGTTTTTTACTCTTCATTCAGTCTGAATTTGTTTCAGTGTCCGATAAATTAGAGATATTTAGTGTTAGTCAGGGATCATTTTTGTCTCGCTTATTGCTTCATATTGATTTCACACATTTACAGGAACCAATACATTTCATAAATTTTCTTTTACAGGAACATTATGGTTCGTTACGCCTGAAATGTTTTGCCTAAATTAAAAAATCTTATTTAACAGAAAATTGAATGTCTTTGCCTTTTTTTACATCGACAGGCGTTTAGAACTGAGGTATCCTCTTGTAATAGTGCTTCGGTTATCAATACATGTGAAATTTTCCAACTCATCGTCAATTGTCTAGAGACAGTTACGTAATCGCTTTCTAAATAAATTTGAATTTCTTCTTGAGCGACGCTTATCCGTGTAAGATATTGAGTGACCACAAACGTGCATGGTTTCAACAATTTTTTTATATATATTTATATATTTTTTCCATTTGAACTCGCAAAGATGATCGCTTGACAAATATTAAGTATTTCCGTTTCTTTGCTGGCATTACATGTTTCGCTGGAGACAAGAAGACTAGTTAAAAAATATAAATTATTTGCTTTTTGTAATCCTTAATTTTTAAATTCTGCATTCTGTATGCCAATTATTTCCATTTTAATATTTTGGCAAATCTTCGTCATTCCTGGCGGACCAAAGGATAAATAGTTGGACGTTTCCGTTTTAGTATGATGCACTACTGCTTCAATGGCTTGCTCCTTTATGTTAAGTTCCAGGGTTTATTAAATAAAGCAAACAACTCAGACACTCTTTTAATCAACTCCACTAAACATTTTTCAAACTCTGTCCACAATCTTGAAAAACTTCATGAAGCATCAAATTCAGTCACATGTAGAAAAAAGTCTTTGTGGGCTTTCAGTCGTCCTGTGACAAGTAAATTGCTGTGAGTGTTTAAAGCAAACTAACTTTAACAGAGTTCAGCGATTACAGAACTATTGCCCAAGACTAACATAAGGTATCCGAACATCTTACACGATATTTGCACTCTGCGACCTTATTCTTCATAATTATAAAAAACCATATTCCAAAGTATTTGCAGCAAAGACTGCATTTTAGCATAGATGTATATACGTCAAACCGTCGGTTTTGGGCTATATTATAACACTATTTTGAACTATTCAAAAGATCCTCCTCTTATATAATTGTAAACATAGTTCATAAATTTCCGGTAAAAATACTACAATGAAAAAATTAATTTACCTTTAAACGAAATTATTCCATTCTTTAATGAAAGAGCAGTAATATATTTAATTAAACTCTAGTATAAATTAAGAACTGAAAATGAACCAATACAAATAAACAATGCCTGAAAATAACCCTTATCAGCATTTACCTATTTAATTGATCTCGCGAATTCTACGATATTTCAGGCTTCTTACTCTTTACTTTATGTTTTCCTATTAATTCATTTATTTCCTTGACGTTAATGTGCCTAAGCACCTTTTGTGTATAAATAAACTTGTCAAGGCGAACAAGCGGAAGAAAATTTGGAAAATTATATTTGTTTATTTTCTATAATAAAAGTTCTTTATTATTATTAAAGACAGAAAATTAATTAAGTGACAAGGTGTGCCTTATAGTGAGATTATATATTCGGGAAGTCACGATGACCAAAGAGCTTCTGGTATATATAAATTTCGCTGAATATATGAAACATGTTCATAAAAAATTAAATCCGTTGCATGTCATGAATGGCTTCGGGTGCGTTTAAGCGTAATTTTCTTGTAGCCGCATCGTCACTTGCAATGGGCTCACTTTTTGATGATCAGCATATTTTTTAAAAAGATGTAAACTTTTGCTTCATGAAAAAACTACATAACAGTAATAATTATTACTGCACTGAAGTGCACTGAATGTGTTGTAGCCAAAAAGTAACAAATCTTTTATAACATATGGTATTGTTTCGCATATATTTAATTTTTTCATAACTAAAAAGAACTTACTTATATTAAATAGCTGCCGCTAGTAAGCTAAATAAAAAGTTTGAGTATCTTCAAAATACTTTTTTTGAAAAGAGGCACAAACTTCTATAAATTGATGACAAGATAAAAATTTTAGAAAGAAATTTTACAAATTTTAGAATCTTAATTCAAACTTCCTTTTAAATAATGCGATCAAAAATATTGATATTCATTTGATTGCGTCAACGTAAACAAAACGCAATCATATATTTTTATATATATTTTTGCCTCTTATAATGAATTCGTAGGCTAAGGGGTATTTGCTGTTTAAGAAATTTTAAAGGCCTAACAATCCAGACACATTTTTAAAAAATTATTTTATAATAGTTCCACCCCTAAAAAATTTATTTGAATCCTCTGTATATTATTAAAAACTCGGAAGTCTCCACGTTGTAGATGAAGTCACATCGTTAATTGAGTATGTATTTTGGAAGTTGTAGAGTACGTTTATCTATATATATATATATATATATATATATATATATATATATATATATATATATATATATATATATATATATATATATATATATATATATATATATATATATATATATATATATATATATATATATATATATATATATATATATATATATATATATATATATTAACACATTAACTTCAATAAAATAAATGAATTAAAAGGAAAACACAAAATAAAATGTAAGAAGTCTGAAATATCGTAGATTGGTCGTATAAAAATCGTGTGGTGCAGGGGGTGGTGGGGGTGAATTTTCTAAAAATTGTCAAGAAATTATTATTTTTTTGTTATCTACACCATACTGCTCTTAAATTGACAAAACCGCTTTTCAATATTTTTATTAGAAATACTTTATTTTTTCATTTTAAAAACACCGCATAATGCTTTTATATGGGAGTATCTTATGAATAAAAGCTTGCTCTGAAATCTCATTTTTATGTTATCGTCTACCTCGCTGTAACTTGAAAATTATTTGGTTTATCAAAAAAGTGTTTCCTATAAACGATATGCATTGAAGGTTAACGAATCCGTTATTTTTTAAAAAACCCCAATCTGATGGATAGTTTTTGTTTTTAATTAGCAAAATGTGAAACCATGTGGTGAATATCACGGAAGCCAGCAAAGCAGCGAGGAAGGGTCAGATTTGCGAGGACGGTCAGGCAATAGACTTTGCGGTTCCGACGTGCGCTTGTACAACCACTTTCGCAGCGAGGATGATTTTATTTATTTTTTATGTCTACGTTTTAAGTGTCAGAATAGTTTTCTTTGAGGGAGTGAAGTAGTTTTTAATGTGACTAAAATATATTTATTTTTGTGTGGGAATGATAAATCATAACGCATTAGTTATTATTTTGATCCAAATGGATATTAAAATCAGTACATGTTCTAATTGCGAACTTGATTCAACAATCAAATTAAAGCATTTAACGAAAAAAGCTGCTAACACTAAA